TTTACAAAATTATTGCTTTTATCCAGAGCGACTTACAGTTAGGTCTATATACAGTATATTTGGACACAAGCACAATTGTTGTTACCAAAACATATTACAGTTACAGTTATATAATGAATATGTGCTGAAAGCACACACTCTCAGCTTTAATTTCAGGGTATTCGCATCCAAATTGGAGGAAGGGTTTAGGAATTACAGCTCTTTAATATATAGACCCCCCCCCCCCCCCCCCCTCAAGGGACCAAAAAGTAATTGGATAGTTGACACAAAAGCTGTTCTGTGGAAAGGTGTGGGCTATTCCTTCATTATTTCTTCATCTAGTAAGAAGGTAAAAGGTCTGAAGTTGTTTCTTAGATTGGCATTTGCATTTGGAAGCTGTTGCTGCAAACTCACATCACATGGTCAAAGGAGCTTTCCATGCAAGTGAAACAGGCCATCGTTAGGCTTCAAAAACAAAACAAATCCAGGAGATAGCAGGAACATTAGAAGTGACCAAATCAACAAAAAAGAACACACTTGTGAGTTCAGCGACATAAAAAGGCCTGGATGTTGACGGAAGAAAACAGTGGCGGATGATTGCAGGATCCTATCCATGGTAAAGAAAAACCCATTTACAACATCCAGCCAACTGAAGAACACTCTCAAGGAGGTGTGTGTGTCATTGTTGAAGTGTGCAGTCAAGAAAGACTTCACAAGAGCAAATAGAGAGGGTTCACCACAAGGTGTGAACCATTCACAAGCCTCAGGGATAGAAGGTCAGATTAGACTTTTATTGCCAAAAACCATATACAAAAGCCAAACCATTTCTGGAAAAACATTCTTTGGATGGATTAAACTAAGACCAACCTGTACCAGAATAACAGGAAGAAAAACATGTGGAGAAAGCATGCAACATCATCTGTAAAACATGGTAGAGGCAATGTGATGGTATGGGCATGCATGGCTTCCAGTGGCACTGGGTCACTGGTGTTTATTGATGACGTGACAGAAGACAGAAGCAGCCGGAAGAATTCTGAAGTGTGTCGGGATATACTGTCTGTCCAGATTCAGCCGAATGCAGAAGTTGATTGGACAGTGCTTCCCAGTACAGATGGACAATGACCCAAAACATACTGCAAAAGAAACCCAGGGGTTTTTGAAGATAAAAACGTGAAATGTTCTGCAATGGCAAAATCAATGACCTGATTTCAAATGCATTTCACTTGCTGAAGACAAAACTCAAGGCAGAAAGACCCACAAACAAACAACATCTGAAGGCAGCTGCAGTAAAAAGCCTGGCAAAGCATCACAAAAGAGAAAACCCAAGTCTTTGGTGATGTCCATGGGTTCCAGACTTCAGGCAGTCATCACCTGCAAAGGATTCTCAACAAAACTTTCAAAATGAATATTTTATTTATTATAATATTCATTTGTCCAATTACATTTGAGCCCCTAAAAATAGGCGGGCTGTGTATTAAGTGGTTGCAATTGCTAAACGTTTCATGATACTTTTGTTCAACCCCTTGAATTAAAGCTGAAAGTCTGCACTTCAATATCATCTTGATTGTTTCATTTTAATTCTATTTTGATGGCACCCAGAATTATAAAATTGTGTCAAGTGTCCAAATATATATTGACTTAACTGTATACAACAACATAAGTCATGCTAAGTGTTGCTAAAGGATGTTAGCATGATAATTATACTGTAGGGGAATGGCTAACAGAAATCATATCCATTCTCTTGAGCTTTTTTTTTTTTTGTAATAGCAATAAAATCTTCAAACGCTATAATATAAAATATCTTTTTCAAAATTGTAATATCATCATTATATTTTAAATATAATACATTACACGGTATATGTAATGTGTGTTTATTTTTTATATTATTTTATGTTATACTGTACGTACGTTTTTTTTTTTAGGTAATACTTTATTTTGAGTCCACTTTAGACATTCTAACTATAAGTAACTTTGCAAGCACATGACAATTTATTCTGCTAACCCTAACCTTAGTAACAGACTACTAATAATCTAATGAGAGTTAGTTGACATTTAGTTGCACATAATGAGATTTGCTGGCATGTAGATGCATAGTTACTTATACTTGGTAGAATGTCTAAAGTGGACTATCCAAATAAAGTGTAATCTTTTTTCAAATAAATTCAAAATGACAGTGGTGCTATATAATAAACAATTTACCAAATTTTGTGAATTTGTTTGAAAAAGATCAAAGACTTGTTTCTTTTCCCATGTATTTAGTATTCTGCTCATTGTGT